GATGTGGTGGTGGTGCAGGGATGGGGTCTATAGGGGGCTCAGGGGGAAAGGTGTAGGCAACTTGTTCAGCCCCTTCCAGGTCTTCAGGTACGATGGAGTGGGCAGGACTTATGTCCAGTGCAGCAACTCCCAAAGGTGGCTGCACAGTTTTTGACTGGTGTGTCGGCTTGCTCCCTTGGGGTCAGCTTTGGTCACCCAGCCACTCCTCTAGTCGAGTCTGACCTTCTTCCAGTTTTTTGGCTTGCAATTTGGGTCATGGCCTGAGAGGCCCGAGGGTGGTGATCCTGAGTGCTCGAGTAACTGGTTGGCTGTGGATGGATTTGGCATATAGCCCCTTGAATGGTGGAAGTGGAGGGAGGGGTCACGGGGATGGGGCAGACTTCTTGGCTAGGTTGAGCTTTGCTTGTGCCAGGTTACCTCAAACCAGTTCTAGCTCCCTCATTCACTGGTTTAGCTGTGCCTGTAGGCTTGCGACCTGTTCTTTTGCTTGGCTAAGCTCCGCTTCAACCTTCTTGGCTTCGTTCATGGTGATGGTGTGGGACATGCATGACTGTCCTACGTCCTTCGTGAGAGACTCCACTATTTCTTCAGTGTGCTCTCAGCAATGAATTTCCTGTTGTTGTGCATCTCTTTCCTGTTCCAAGGCCCCTCTGAGTGTGTCCCGGTCCACTTTCACTGCCCACAGCATTGCTCAAAGTTCATTTCCTCAGCTCACCTCTCTCTCATAATCTCACAGCACATTCTCATATGCTTGGTGCATGTCCATGGGTTGGCTCCAATGTCTGGGGTTATCTCATGTGGGGAACAGGAGTGGTGGTTCTTCCTGTCACTGTAGATAATAGGTGCATCTATCATCTGGCCATAGTACCTGGTTGTAGCCAGTGGGCGTGGGAGTGTGGGATAACCAGACATAGGGTTCCCTTCTATCTAGCCCTCCATGCCATGCAGTCTCCTGGTATTGTAAGTTTCCATCCATTTAGTTGGCCTGATTGTGTGAGTGTCATCGTTCGAAGTCCTGGTGCGGAGGTCCCTGGCCTGGGTTGGTGTTATCCCATTCTTCTCTGATCCTTGGTCCTGATCCTATGTATCCCAGCCAGCTTCAGTTGATGGGAGTGCCTTGATAGTAGTGGGGTGCAGGTGAGTGGATAGAGATTACGTCTTCAGGGGTGGAGGGATGAAGAGAGCTGATTTGCCCGAGTTCATGAAGTTGCTGCTCCACTGAATGTTCTGATTTGGCTGGGTTCATCATTGCATCAGCGGAATAGGAATTGACTCAAGTTCGGCAAGTAGGTGTATGAGGTTATTGAGGTGCTGGGGGTTCAGAATTGCTCATTGTGCTGTGACCTGATGCCCGACGTGATTAAAGATATGGGCATATGCTCGTATGAGGTAGTGCATGCATGTGCGGTTATCAGCCCACTGATGGAGGTGATGGATTTTGACTAAATGTAGAATGTCATCCACTCACTTGGTGAGGTTGTTGTAGTATTCGAGTGTCTCAGTATCCTTGAAGTAGTTTTTGGAGGTAGGAAGGTAGGTGACCAACACCGCTGATGAGCACGGGAATGGGCTGAGCATAAAGCACGAGGCAAGCAGCAGTCTAAGCCCAGATGGCTGACTGATCCTTTGTCATACCAACTGCCTCCGAGACATGCATACTACACGAGGTGGTCAGAGCTGGCAAAGATGGTCTCGACCGAGCGAGGCATGGTCGGGAAGGCAGCTGTGGCCCAGTGCACCTTTCAGAAGAACTGAGGAGTGAAGGCAGTACTGATGATCGAGGACAGACTGCTCGAACGAGCGTAGCGATAGCAGGGTATTAGTTACGGTGTTAACAGGCTACTTTTCTCTTACAAGTTTCGGATTTCAGATGCATTTCAAATATGCTTCTAGTCTCTGGAAGCAGAACGTGAACACCTCTCATAGCAGTGAACAGTTCAGCAATGAGCTGTCTGTCTTAGTATATAAACCTGGTCACAATTGGTGATCAGGAGAAGGAGAGAGGGAAAAGGGGTCGCAGCAGCAGACTTCTCCACACCTTCACAGTCCTACTCCACTCTACACATCTCATCTTTGATATCTGTCTAATTGCTTCACTATTAAATTGCATTCTATTGACCTCGATAACTTCGTTAACGAAGTTTGCGCTACGAACGACTCACGCCACAAGCCCAGGGATATAGGTGGTCACCTAGGCTCGGTACAGTCTTTTACGCACAGTCCATCAATTAACTTGTTCTATCGGAGCCAGGAAGACTTTAGCAGTCATGCACTGTAGGGAACGAAGCGATCAAACACACTGAACGAAGTCCAGCTAAATCCAGCAGTAGCAGATGAGCGAGGTCCATTCTAGGGATTTGTTTTCCACAGTCTAGATTAGGTGTCCAATTCATATTTGCGATCAGCAAACAAGCGCCGGGGTCGATTTGCGAACAAAACACCAACAACCCTAAACAAGAAACTGCTAGCGCTGAGATGGACATCTGGTCTGAACGATCACACCCAGCAGATCTGCGAACAATCCATTGGTGCTCAAGCAGCATTTGCGATCAATTTGAAGCATGCGACTGACATAACATGGGACATTCATTCCTCGAAACAGTAACACACATGTGCGCGAAGCCAGAGTTCTGCTCTGGCCCCAGTCAGAAGGCTAGCTGGCTGAATGAAGCCATCTGCATCGTACCTTTTGACCGCACACTTCGGATGATGCTCTCATCCACCACCCACACATCAACCATCCATAACAACCATGTCTCAGAGTCCATTAGCAAGAAACCTGCAGGCCTTGCACCCTTCAAGAAAAGAGTCATCTCCCTGTACCATCGCACCATCAGAGACAGAGCAGAGTGGTTGATACTCACCTCGCTCTGCAATGAAGTGATCAGTACTGCCTGACCATGGATCATAGGGAGATGGCATCAGAGCATATCATACTGGAGCCCACCACGAGGGGTTTCAGAGGTCAGATTTAGTAGCAGGTTTATGTTGCACCAGACTCGCAGCCATTACTGAAATGAACAGGAAGAGCATCTTCTCCTTCTTTAATAGCAGGCTTGCCCAGCTTCTAGAATTTCAGCAAGCAGATTTCGAATGTGGCAAAGAAGGCTGACTACACTTGACAAACTACGAGCTGAGATCTGTTTCAGAATCTTCATCACGCTTTTCATCACCTAGGGAACGAGATACCCGAGGCAATCATCTCGAGATCTTCGGTGGTGATTTCGATCTCACACCGCTTTCGTCGAACATTGCAACAGTTCACATTTCACGCTCACCAAGCATACCAGATGAGATCTCAGAAGGAAGATCACTCCTTGATGAGCTCGAGGCAGCACTAGCATTGCTTTCACGAGTCCCATCACCAGTTCCAGTCACTTCTCCAGTAAATTCCACACACACTTCACCAATGACTACTTCGATAGGACCTATCATTGTGATGGCAGCCACGGTAACCTATCAAATGCCATTCCGAGGAGATCGTTCAGCACCAATGTTTGATCCAGATCACCCACGCACATTATTCCGTTACTTCGATGATCTCGAAATCTTATTCGCATGTTGCAGCATTACTGACAAGGTCAAAAAGAAGAAATGGGTAATCCGATACTTGCCCATTGATGTCACGGATCTCATCTCGAGCCTAGCTGGCTATGACTACCCTCTCATTCCATATACACAATTTAAGCCTCGAATCCAAGTGCTGTATCCAGGGGCCGATAACGAGCAAAAATGGGAGGTTAGAGACATGGATTTGCTCATAGGTGAGCATTCTAGACTAAGAATCCAGAACATTTCAGAACTCGGAGCATACCACTGGGAGTTCCTAGCGATCACTATGTTCCTGATCAGCAAGAACCACATTTCCATTTTGGAAGAAAACTGTGCATTCATCAGAGGGTTTCAGCCCGAGTTGTGAATCAGGATATCACAGAGACTGCAGCTCAAGCAGCCCGACCACTACCCAGATGACCCATACAATGTCAACAATGTTTACGATGCAGCAAAGTTTGTTCTACATGGCACCGCGACGGTACCTTCAGCAAGTACCGGAGGGAGCGTAGTGAAAGCAGAGATCAAGGCTGAAGGAGGGACAGCTGCAATCAAAGTGGAGGACATATCATTACTCATCGAGAGCCTCATGAAATTGGTCCAGACGCTCACAGCAATGTCTACAAATGCAACAGCCAGAATAAAGGCCAACCTGAGCACTGCAGCACCAGTGCAAGGCAAACGTACAGGACTGCACCTCCAAATAGCTATTGCCATTATTGTGGGGAATCAGGTGGCATGATCAGGACGTGTAAGCATGTCGAGGAGGACATTAAGAGCAGGAAGTGTCTGAGGAACATGGACGGAAAGGTCGTCTTTCTAAACGGAGCATTCGTTCCTCAGAACATCCCAGGTCTTACCATCTGAGATCGCATCTACGAGTGGCATAGAGACAGAATGCAGCAGGCATAGGTCCCGGAGTTGCACAAGCCTCGATATCAGCAGCCACGAACCTATTCAAAGTTGAAAAGGCCAGCACCTTCTCGTTAATGGGTGAACAGCACATCCAGGCCCTCGAACGTGAAGTGCTCAGTCTACAAAAGAAACAGGTGTTTGACAGAGTCGAGATACACAGACCACTGAAGCCAGCACAGCCAGCACCACCTGTTCAGCCAGTAGCACAGCCAGAGCTGACTCGAGCAGCAGAGCCCTTGAAGGTATCGAAAGCTTCGATGAGCCAGCAAGATGAAGCAGTCATCCTGAAGCATCCTTATTAAGCAGTATGGGATGCCACCTATGTCCCATCCATGCAGCGTAACTATGGGGCACCTCCACCCAGAGGACAGGCCCTGGCATATCACACAATGCCTCCAGTCTATTAGCTGAAGCTAGCGGATGAAGTCTTCGAAAGGTCTATGAAGTCGTCGGCTATCTCAGTGTCACTCGAGGAACTACTCTCAATCTCACCCGGTGTACGCTCAAAATATCATGAGGCCTGCACACCAAAAATGGTTCAGCCAGGATCTCAGGTTACGAGCGCATCAGTTGAGGAGGTCGTGGATGAAGAATATGCACTGAAGGCATCAGCGAACTTTACCTGCGGTGGCGAGCCACTAAAGTTGAACGGGTCAATAGTGCCAGATCCCTACAAAGTTTACCTATGTCATATCCACAAGCACAGTGAGCCAGACCAGCTTATGGTGGCAAAGGAGTCACATGCAGTACGTTTGGTCTTTAACCTTGTTGACAACAAGGAGAATGTCGAGGCCATCGTTGACCCAGGATGCCAGATTGTTGTGATGTCAGAGAATGTATGCCATGCTCTAAGACTTATTTATGATCCTACGGTCAAGTTGAATATGCAGTCCATGAATGGCGAAGTCAATCAGTCTCTCAGTATCATACGCAACATACCATTTCAGATCGGAGAGATCGTTTTATATCTCCAGATCCATGTTATCCATGCAGCAGCATACGACATACTATTGGGCAGACCATTTGATGTGCTCACTGAGAGTGTCGTCAAGAACTTCTTCGATGAGAAGCAGACCATCATGATCATGTGTCCCAATACTGGACAGGTCACAACGATACCTACGGTACTGCGTGGTCCTCCGAAGTTTCATAATAAATTCAGTGAACAGGGTTTTCACTAGTGGAGGATACACACAGTGCAGAAGATGCACTGGCCATACTCATTGAACAGGCATTCAATCAGGACCCAGTAATCATCACATATACCCCAGTCGTATCCTCCGATCACATCATTATCACATCGCGCTACATCCAGGCCTCGAAAGGGGCACTCTCAGCTATCAGTTTCTTATATTCCCCATCTACATCATCCAGTAATATTCCAGCATCACATCTCTCTCAGTTATTTTTCAGTCAATCAGTCTCAAAGTCAGCCTCTAGTCCTACGAATTCTGTGTCACCGAAGGCAACACCAGCAAGGTCCACGTCAACGAAGCAGCCAGCAAAAGCATTTGCAGCCACAAAGAAGAAATATAAGCCAGTCGCATCAAAGACAAAGCCGGTCTTGACCACTGCACCAGAATCATTTAGAATTATGTGGAGGATCACGGGTGATCCTCTCGCACAGATACCTTCATTACCGACGATGTCTCCACTGTTTGCGCCGGAAGGACGTTATACCCAGGAACGGATGGAGGCTTTAAACCATATTCATGCCACAAGGTTTTTATGGGATCAGGAACATGAGCTCATGCACTATTTTATGCGCATTTATAATCGAGCCTTCACCTGGAACGATATGGAATGGGGCTGTTTCAAGCCTGAATATTTCCCTCTGATCGATTTTTCAGTCATTCCACACACACTGTGGGTCGAACATAATATACCTATACCCCCAGACATCTATAATGAAGTTTGCACTCTAATTCGAAAGAAGATGGCAGCCAGAGTCTACGAATCTTCAAATTCATCGTATCGCTTGAAGTGGTTCTGCGTCGTCAAGAAGGACGGGAAGTCCTTACGATTGGTTCATAGCCTAGAACCACTCAATGCGGTGATGATCTGGCATTCAGGAGTAATGCCAATGCCTGAGCATTTGACTGAACAGTTCAGTGGAAAAGCGTGTGGGGTGATGCTTGACCTCTATGTTGGCTATGACGAACACCTCATTGCGGAGTCCTCGTGAGATCTCACTACATTTCAGACACTGATCGGGGCCCTGTGGCTAGCAACACTGCCAATGGGATGGACGAATTTAGTCCCTATCTTTCACAACAATGTCACCTATATCCTTCAGCCCAAGATACCGAATGTTATGATTCCATACATCGATGATGTGCCTGTCAAGGGACCCACATCACAGTATCAATGACCGGATGGTTCATTTGAGACTATACCTGAAAATCCCAGTATTCAACGATTTGTGTGGGAGCACTTCCAGAACCTGAATCGAGTGATTCAGCACATGAAGTATGCGGGAGGCATGTTTTCAGGAACGAAACTTACATTGTGCAGTGCGGAGATCATGGTCATAGGCCATAGGTGCACAGTGAATGGGCATTTACCGGACGAATCACGCATTGCCTCCATTAAGAACTGGGGGCCCTGTCAAGACCTCTCAGAGGTTCGAGCATTTCTAGGAACCATCGGGGTCACTAGAATCTTCATATGGAACTTTGCGAAGTGAGCGAATCCTTTGGTCAAGCTCATGTAAAAGAACGTTCCATTCGCATTTGGCGAAGAACAGATCACTGCGATAGAGGATCTAAAGGCAGCACTGCTAGAGTCACCAGCACTATGAGCGATTGACTATGACTCCGAAGCACCTGTAATTCTGGCAGTCAACACTTCGAACATTGCGGTCAGATACCAACTTTGCCAGTGCATGCCAGAAAAGCTGAAAGTCCAGTACTTTAGTCGGTTCAGCTCGATCACGCTCAACAAATGAGAAAGTCATTTCAGCCAGCCCAAGCTCGAACTCTACGGTTTATTTCATGCCCTACGAGCATTGAAGATTTATCTTATTGGCATATGGAAACTGATAGTCGAAGTGGACGCTCGTTATATCAAGGGAATGCTGAAGCGTCTGGACATCGCACCCTCCACCAGTATCAATCGGTGGATCATTGCAATCCTCATGTTCCATTTCAAGCTCGTTCATGTACCAGGTGTGAATCACGACCCAGATGAATTGTCATGCAGACCCCCACAGCCTGACGATACACTTGACAACACCTATGACAATGAGGACTTCGATGACTGGATCAATCAGGTCAATGGCTTCTTGCATCACATTCTGCGACACCCAACACCACCTCCACTTACAGCACAGTCAGTGAATGGAGATGTTCACATTAAAAGTGGGGAGGAGGGGGACCAGCCCATTTTGCAATTCTGAATGCAGGCTACATTACTGAAGCCATCGTCACATGTGCACGCAATGTTCGTATCGGACGAAGCAGCCAAGGAGGAACAACCTGCTCAGGATAAAGTAACCTATGCTGATGTACTGCGCAGTGAGCAGGCAAAACGAAATGACAAGCTGCTGGAGCAAGCACACCAGTGGTTGCGAAAACCTGGATGGCCACCGGACCTGTTGAATGCACAGTACCAACGACTTCTCCGATATGTGACCCAGTTCTTCATGCGTAACTAAAAGCTTTGGCACAAGGACCCTCAGGGAGCCCACAAACTAGTTGGGTCTGGGGACAAGCATCTGGAAGTGCTCAAAGGATGTCATGATGAGTGCAGACACAAAGGAGTCTTCGCTACACGTACTCTAGTCCAAGAATAATTCTAGTGGCCAGATATCAAAGCAGATGCAGCATGGTATATTCATACTCGCATCTTGTGCCAGCAACAACAGATTTGTCAGATCGTCATTCCACTGGTCATCGCAGTATCAGCACCAATCTTCACGAAGATTTACATCGATACAATGTATATGCCACCATCGAATGGGTTCAAGTACATCATACAGGAACGATGCTCTCTAACTCACTATCCAGAGTTCTGAATGCTTCAGCAGAAGTCAGCAAAGGCGATTGATGATTGGCACTTTGAAGATGTTCTATGTCATTGGGGCACACTTTCAGAAATTGTGTCCGATAACGGTGCTCCATTCGTCAAGGCACTCAGATACATCGAACAAAAGTACCATATCCAACACATTCGTATCAGCAGCTATAATTCCAGGGCGAACAGGATTGTTGAGCAACTGCATTTTGATGTTCGACAAAGCCTGTTTAAGGCAGTGGATGGCGAAGAACGAAAATGGAGTCAGGCTGCATACTCAGTGTTTTGGGCTGAACAAATCACGATGAGGAGAAGGATGGGGTGTTCACCATACTTTGCAGTAACAGGAACGCACCCGATCCTCCCGTTAGACATTGTCGAAGCAACCTATCTGACACCAGCTCCATCAATGATGCTTTTGTTGACTGACCTAATATCCTACTGAGTGATCGCCTTGCAGAAGCGATGCACTCAAGTTGAACATATCCACAATGCAGTCTACGAAGCATGTTGAGAGGCAGCCAGGAGGTACGAGCAGGACCATCCTACTAAGGTCAAAGATTTTGACTTCAAGAACGGAGATCTCGTTCTCGTGCAGTTCACGCAGATTGAGAAGGCATTAAACTGGAAGATGCGACCATGGTACATTGGGCCATACGTGGTTCTACTGCGTAACAAGGGAGGAGCCTATGTACTGGCCAAATTAGATGGCGCCATGCTCGATCAGCCCGTTGGTGCATTTCGGGTCATCCCATTCCTAGCTAGGAAGAAGATCATCATGCCAGAAGAAGTATTGGATGTAACAAAGAAACAACTAGAAGAGATAAAGAAGGCAGAAGAGCCAGGGGATGAGGAGGAAGAACAAGAACAAGGAGAAAGTGACAATGAACAAAGCGGAAATAAATGAGCCGGTGACAAAGAAGATGGATAGGAGGTGAACCAGACTGAGTCAACCTGTGAATGTGTACATAGGATCAAGACCAGGGAAGCAACATTTTTTTTACCTTATATGAGAGACCACACTTAATATGGTTGGCACGTGAATATTCGAGCACACAGAAATTTATATTGTGATGTGGGGACTATGATACAGCAACTATTATATGGCCGTGTTGGGCCCAGAGCACGGAAAGGACAACAGACAATGCTAGACAATGAGCTACTCTAATGCAACTTCTGCTCCTTGTGAGCCTTGCAGACCTCCTTGCAAGCCCAGCATTTCTCATGATCCTGCTCCTGAAATGCCTTGATGAAGGTGGCCAGAGACTCCGCATCAGCAGGAAGGGGCAGTGGTGTGGCAGCAGCTGCAAGGACCATTGAAGGGCCAGCAGTAGGGGCCGAGGAAGTAGCAACCAGATGAGGCTTGAATGAAGAACACATTGACTTGTGGGAAAAGGAAGCGGTGTCCGCATTCTGCAACTCTCGCATGGCCTTGTGAATCCAAGGAAGGAGCTTATCGAGCAGCATGCTCTGCACGATCATTTCCGAGATGGTTTCAGCAATCTCAGGGTTGGGCTAACCAGTGACAGGGTCCCTAGCTGAGACTGCAGGACAACAAGTGGTTAGTAGGAAAGAACACCGAAGTGGGGGATACGTACAAAGAATTGGACTGTGCAACATCAGCCAGTCGTATAATTTGTCCTCCATAACTGAGGCACCTCAATGAGCCTTGAATGCATGGAACTCGATATTCATCGTCTTATACATCTCGTTGAATTTCACCACTCAGGAATAGCTCTCGCACTGTTCAGACATTGGGGTGTTTGGAACAGACCAACCATGGGCCTTGTAAATGTCAGAAAGGGTGACCCAGTGTTCGACGTCAGCAGCGATGGGTGAAGATTTGAGCTTTCAGAAGCAGCATGGCTGGCCTATGCACTGGCATTTAAGGCACTGCAGTTTGTTTTCCATCATAAAGCACAAATTCGGAATGCCCTGCTTGAAGCAGTGGTAGCACTGTGAACAAGGAGGGCATGCAAGCCCAAAAGTCAGTCACCACAGAATGAGCACAAGGTGGAGCAACCTGCCAAAATGGCATGCATGGGCGCGTGCCAGGCCAGAAGGTACATCGGCAGGTGTGCTGGGTTCTGAATGAAGAATGGAGGATTTGCCGAAGGGTCCTTAGCAGAAGAAGCCACTGCAACTGCAGTAACGACGGGTGCGGCCTCCACCATTTCCATATCACTAGAGACATCTGGTTCGGACTCCCCCTCACTGGACTCAACATGAAGGCGCTTGATGGCAGCAGACTTGGTGGTGTGATATGGAGGACTGTGGGCCTTGGGCATCACAAGAACCAATGCAGCTTCAGTTTCAGATGAAATCTCTTGGTCATGAGAAGTTACAGATGAAGAAGGCAACAGGGGAAGAGGTAGGTGAGCAAACATGAAACTTGCTTTTGGCTTTGGAGCGAGGCCCATCAAGAAGACGAACACCTCAGGTTTAGCTTCAGCAGATCCAGGAAGGAGGACAGGCTCAGCCTTCACAGCATGGGTGATTGAAGGGCTAGTCTGCACACTGGCCGGAGCCTCAGGAGGAACGGTATCAGAAGCTGAAGAAAGGAAGTCGAGGGTATCCCAAGTAACTGGCAGTGCTCTGCCTTTAGGGATGTCATGAGATCGACTCATGGTGTCCATGCCAGACACGAGCCTATGACATTGAACCTACAAGCAGGTTTAGCAGGGAAAAGGGGTTGACAGAGAAGAAGATGCTCACCTGCGAGCACTCCAGGAGTAGCTCCTGCACGTGCAAAGGGCTAAGAAACAGGATGCCCTGAGGCAACCAGTCGACAGTAGCAAAGGAATCAAGAACTGGTCCAAGTGCCTGGATGTAGCTGGCCATGCAAGAATCAATGTCCGAATCAGAGTTGCACAATTTGAAAGTCTCTTTCTGTAGCCGATGGGGTGGTTAGCCAGCAGAATCCAGAAAGTGGACTCACAAGATGTATGAGCAGGCGGTGAATCTTGTGCACCAACTCGAGTGCACATAGAGGTGTCATCTCTGACAACTGTAAGTGACTGAGGAAGCTAGCACACAAGGACTCGTGGCCCTCGATGGCAAGCTCTTCACCAGGTGAGGTGAAGGTCACCCATGGGGTAGACTCCTTGACAACAGGAGGTGGCAGAGAGACCACGATGACAGACAATAAAGGGAGGTGAGGGCTGAGCTCCAGAAGCAAAAGCTTGATAACGGGTGGAGCATCCACGGCAGAGGTCACAGGCTCAGCAACTGCCAAGGGCATGAGGGTGTCAGGTGCAGGAGATGATGAATGAGAGGGAGGCATAACGAACTCGATGGCAGTGAGAGGGGTGAAGGGCAATTAACGAGGTGAGCAAGTAACTAAAAGGCAGGAGCGGGGTCAGAGTTGGGCAGAAGCAAGTCCGCTCGAGACCAATCACCAGGGTGAGTCAGACTCATGCTGCCCAGGCCTGCAGAGGCCCAGGATCAAGGCTGACAAATGAAGCATCGACCAAATGCTACAAGGGAAATGGGCTAGATAGCAGTGTACTGGTACAGGCAGATGACTAATAGAATAAGAAGAGAATGACATGGTCTAGGAGGTAGGAAATGATTTGAAGTCTTTCCTGTCATCTCCCTCAGATTTGTCACGCTGGCTACTTGACCCAACTTTTACATACCAAACAGCGAAACCCGTCGCAAGGACCAGACAGGTAGAATGAGGTTGGGGAGCGAGCTGCTCAGGGGCTGGGTCAAGTGACGAGTTCGAATGAGGCAAGGCCAGAATTTCTGGGCTGCACTTCTTGATGGCCTTCTGGATCGCCGTGGTCATGTCAAACCCAGAAGAAAGGCATTGGGTGATATAATAGAGGGCCTTTATCACAAGTTCAAATTCGTTAATTTTTCACTTAAAAGCCATACTCGTGAACCTCTCCATGAAGAAGGAGTCAAGCGGAGTCAGGCTGACATCCTGAAACACACTGAGGACAGCCTCAGTAGAGAAGTTGGCTGAGGGAGGCAAGGGTGTTAGAACAAAGCAATCGATCACCGAGCAGAGCATCCGACAAACCAGGGCAATCTAAGGCCTGTACTGGACCAGAGCACGCATGACCATGTGTGGAACAGAATAAGCAGCATGTGGGGTGAGTGAGGAAAAAGCAAGGGAACGAATTCCCCTTGCACAGAAGACACTAGGGACAAATGGTCACCAGTTGCGCAATAATGATGACAGCATTAACGAACATACTGGGCCAGGAGTGCATCTCTTTCAGTTGAACCAGATCAAGGCTGACTGGTCGTAGGCAGGGATCTTCGGCCAATTTGCGGTTAGATAGGCCAGAAGGAGCCCGGTGCGATGCTTGGTATCCATATTTGCAGGTGCAGGAACCACACGAGAAACGGATGGGCCAACATCATCGGACAATGCATCCGGTGCTACCGGATCAGAATCATCGTCCACAGGGGGTAGAGGTGTGACACTGCCATCCTCACTTTCAGAATCACCAGAGAGGAGTTCAGGAGAGTGCACGGCATGACACTGCAATTGCCTGCATATAGTCACAAAATCTGGCTGTGGGGTGAAGCACTCAGGTGCAAGCCACACAGGGGAAGAGCCATAGAGGGGAGTACCAGTCGATGGCTTCGTTCGGACAGAGAACCCCAGAAACATTAAGCCAAAGGAAGCCATCACCATACCAAACCCCAACGGAGGGTAGAGTTCACTGCATTTAATACCCAGCTGGGTAAAAAGAAAGCAGATACCCTCCACTGTGACAGGAGTCGTCGGGCAGTGCAGGTCATGAATGGATGAATCGGTGGGGTCAATCACCAGCCATCTATTGCTAGCCATCTGTCAAGCAGTATCACCATCTATAGTTTGCTCTAAAGCTTTGATATATAGATCATCGAAAGCTGACTTGGCCACCACTGGGGACCGTACAGGCTCACTCGCAAGAAACAAGCACTTTCACTTTAGTAAGGTGATCTGATCGATGTTCACGAAAGACAACCACGGTAGCCAGTCAGGCTTGGTGAACAAGGCATATCGGTCAAGGACCATTTGCACTGCAGTAGTAACGAAGCGGCCATGAGTGCCCATAGCATGAGCTAACATGACCTGGGGCAGCCAGATCAGGTCCAGCATCTAGTCTGGTAACATTTGGCATGTACCGACCGATCTTTCAGCTTGGAAAAAAATGCACCTCATTCTTCATTGAAGCTGGTCGGCGAGGGAGTGCCATCACAAACAAAGTCATCAGTGGAGACAAGATAGTAATGCCAGAGTGGCTCCTCACCCTCAAGGCAGAGAACGGTGTCCAAGAGCACCTCAAACAGGCAAAGAAGGAACAGGATGTTTTGAGTAGGGTACTCAATAAGGGGAAATTCCGGCGCATCCATCAAATTGATCAGCATGGTGACGAGGAGGTCAAGCCAAGATAGAAGGAGAGGGGGGGCAATGCGGTTATGATTGCCTGAGGATGGTCAAGATCGAAGTGGGGAGGAGATGATGAGCGTGGGAACAGGCTGAGCATGAAGCATGAGGCAAGCAGCAGGCCAAGCCCAGATGGCCAACCGATCCTTTGTCATACCAACTGCCTCCGAGACATGCATACTACACGAGGTGGTCAAAGCTGGCAAAGACAGTCTCGACTGAGCGAGGCATGGTCGGGAAGGCAGCTGCAGCCTGGTGCGCCTTTCAGAAGAACTGAGGAGTGAAGGCAGTACCGATGATCGAGGATGAACTGCTCGAATGAGCATAGCAGTAGCAGGGTATTAGTTACGGCATTAACAGGCTGCTTTTCTCTTACAAGTTTCAGATTTCAGATGTGTTTCAGATATGCTTCTAGTCTCTGGAAGCAGAGCACGGACACCTTCCATAGCAATTAACAGTTTGGCAATGAGCTGTCCATCTTAGTATATAAACCTGGTCACAATTGGCGATCAGGAGAAGTAGAGAGGAAAAAGGGATCGCAGCAGCAGACTTCTCCACACCTCCACAGTCCTACTCCACTCTACACATCTCATCTTTGATATCTGTCTAATTGCTTCACTATTAAATTGTGTTCTATTGACCTCAATAACTTCGTTAATGAAGTTTGTGCTACGAACGACTCGCGCCACAAGCCCAGGGATATAGGCGATCACCTAGGCTCAGTACGGTCTTTTACGCACAGTCCATCGATTAACTTGTTCTATCGGAGCCAGGAAGACTTTAGCAGTCATGCACTATAGGGAACGAAGTGATCGAACACACTGAACGAAGTCCAGCCAAATCCAGCAGTAGCAGATGAGCGAGGTTCATTCTAGAGATTTGTTTCTCACAGTCCAGATTAGGTGTCCAATTCATATTTGCAATCAGCAAACAAGCGCCGGGGTCGATTTGTGAACAAAACATCAACAACCTCAAACAAAAAACTGCTAGTGCTGAGACGGACACCCGGTCTGAACGATCGCACCCAGCAAATCTGCGAACAATCCGTTGGTGCTCAAGCAGCATTTGCAATCAATTTGAAGCATGCGACTGACATAACATGGGACATTCATTCCTCAAAACAGTAACACACACGTGCCTGAAGCCAGAGTTCTGCCCTAGCCCCAGTCAGAAGGCTAGCCAGCCAAATGAAGCCATCTGCATTGTACCTTTCGACCACACACTTCGGACGACGCCCTCATCCACCACTCACACACCAACCATCCATAACAACCACATCTCAGAGTCTGGTAGCAAGAAACCTGCAGGCCTCGCACCCTTCAAGAAAAGAGTCATCTCCCTGTACCATCGTGCCATCAGAGACAGAGCAGAGTGGTTGATACTCACCTCACTCTGCAACGAAGTGATCGGTACTGCCTGACCACAGACCATAGGGAGGTGGCATCAAAGCATATCACCGCAACCTCATTCCAGTCCGAGTTATCATATACTTTGAGTGTGCTGACGTGGTAGACTTCATAGTATGAAGTTGCGGAATAGTTTTAGTAGAGGGCTAGCATGCCATCTAACCTATTTCTTTCTTCCTCAGGGGAAGCTTGTACTAGTTTGTCAATAAGCAAGGTGGTGGGGTTCAACTCGGTGTACTCGTATTTGCCATCTGACATGTAGGTACTATAACAAGACCCTGCCCATTCTCTCGAGTCCTTTTCTGTACTTCTGGATGATATCCCTCACTATCCAGCATGTTTCTCCTCCTTCCTTCTTTCATGCAGATACGTAGTCACAAAAGGCGCATGCTATGTGCTGGTGTATGAAGGGAAGCTTATAGGTGGCAATGTCATCTCACAGCTGGGTAAGTTTGGCAGTGAGGGCATGAAGGACAAGTATGTCCTGCTTGTCGAGCTTCCTGGTGTACTGCTTGGTGAGAAGTAGGTCCACCTGTTTCTTGGTGCCAGTGATGCGAGTGGTGGATATGATGTGTAGAGCTAGAGGGTACGTCCAGTGACTACCAGTTGCAGCATGGATGTAGGTAGCTGTTGTCAGATCCTCGTGGAATTTGTGCAGTGCCCGCAGTTGAGGGCGTGGTCTTGGCAGAGCCTCGGGCTGCTGCTCATAGAATTCTTCAGGTGTCTTGGCCCTACAGTGACATATAACTCTGATGCGGCATGTTTGGAAGTGGTTTATGCTGGTAGAGTCAGTGTCAAACAGAACGTTTGATGTAGAGATGACACTGCTAGTGCACGGGTTGGCGTGTGCTGAGGCAACACTACGACGTGCGGGAGGCACTTCATAGGTGGATAAGCTAATGCCCTGGATGCAGCCGATGGTGATAACTCCAGTCTTCTACTTACTACTGTTGGCTTGGGTAGGTGAGGTGTTGGGTTTTGGACATATAGGACACTGGCCCTGTCGACGTCGAGTGGTGATAGATGATTGTCAAGGTATAGTGAACTGAGGCTACAACTGGTGCCCACAGTCCAAGAGGAGTACTTTCGAGTTATGTGACCAGATGAGCACTTAGTGCTATCCTTCCCTTGCGAAGACTACCTGTGAAGGTACTGCTCTTGTTCGAAAGATTGCAGTGAACAAGCCAACTCGAAAGTGAGGAGCTATCCCCTCAGTTGAGCTGGTATATATATGCCTAGGGTAGTACCCCATGACTGGGTGTAAGATCCCTGATACTAGGTACATGTGTTAGTCTACTCAGATGCATGTGTTATATTACAAGGTCCTTCGGAGCTCCGTGCTGAGTCATGGAAAAACTGTGACACAACCATCCACTTTCAATTCACCCCAAGGTCATGCTTTGCTATAAGATATACTGGCATGTAGTCTACCCTATGACCCACACGACTACCAGCTTGAAGGCGTAGCAAAAGCTCTCAAAGGAACAGATGTTGTTGCGATTACTCCTACAGGCTCTGGCAAGACAGGATTCTTTATCATGTACTTGCTGGTTGCTCACGCATTTGCTCAAAACCCATCGCATTGTCCCATTGAAGTGTTGCATCACACATTCAAGGCATCACCATGTTACATGTATACTGGTTGTCTGCCCCACAAAGTCTCTCGAAGATGATATGGTCAATAGTAATCAAACTGACAGTGATATAAAGCACTGACATCATAGCATACATGCACCCAAATTCATGGCCATTGGATTATCGGTGCTGGTGATTAATTCTGACACAACACAGCAAGCTAGCCATAGAGGCGAGAACCTCTGGAAGACAGCTTTGTCTGGAGTGGAGGTCATTCTGCTAATGCTGGAGCAACTGATGAGCAAGGGCTTTGAGTGCTTGCTTGCAGACAAGTCATTCAGCACACACGTAATGACACTTGGAGTGGATAAAATTCACCTTCTCCAGCACTGGGGGATGCGATTCCGTGCCGCTTTCAAACAAATAGGCTCTGCTCACATGCAATTTCCAGGATCACCAGTGATCATAGCCCTAACAGTGACACTATGTCCAGGCTTGCCTACAGAGTCTGTCTGTGGATTTCTTGGACTCAAAGTGGGTCAGTACCATCAGATTCATCACTTGAATGCTCGTTACGACATCGAATGAATCTTCCATACCCAAATATCTGGTGCAAATGTGTACCAATTCCCAGAGCTCGACTGGGTTCTAGAAGAGCAGCACCATGTCATCATCTTCTGCAAGACTATCAGCCATGGTCATCGAGTAGCGACCTATCTATGGAACAAAGTTGATGATGTAGAAGACCACAACAAGCACATTCGTGTCTTCAACTCACTCAATTGGGACACGCACAATCAAGAAACACTTCACTTGATGCATCATCATCTATGCTGGTAAATCACTATCGGTACAGACAGCATGGCTCATGGCATCAGAGGCAGCAATGAGCTATAATCAAGAGATCTCGTAGACATGTCTCAAAATCACAGAGTCATTGCAGGTCATTGTACAGATTCATGCATTGGACTTGGGAGTTTCAGGCATGCTCGATGAGATCTGGGAGAAGCCAGCTGCCATCAGTGGCATGTCAACGGCATCCTTCCGCATGTCTCAGCATTTTCAAAATGGGGTGACACGTCATCGAAAGTGTGTACTACGGGTTGAAGGGCACATTTTGAAGCAGACCTTAATATCATCTGTCGTCGCTCTCTTAGAAAAGATGATTTTATAGGTCTGCCTAGGGGAGACAATGGTGCTCCGAGGTAGAACCCCAAAGCAGGTACCCCTAAGAGCGAGGACGTCAAACTGACCTGGAACTTTAAGCCGATCCCTTGTATGCCACTTCACAGATTTCGTATCATAGCATACTTCACATGACTAGAATAGGGAAACATCGAATGTTACGTTGGTGAGGTGGATGCAAGCTGTGGCTGTGGACGTGATGCAAGAACTGTGATGGTGAGAAAGACGTGTCTGGTCACTTGTGACACAACTCCATGACTCTGTGAGTCACACAAGTTACTCGCTCAAGCTTCACTCGTCATGTCGCCTGTGCTTAATTGAAAATTTTTGCCTACATCGCTGATTGTGTTCTCATGAGTCTTGGACTATATTTCTCTTATGAAGGACCATTTAGGAAAGGCCACTTGTCATTGACCACACATCAGAAAAACTCAAATTGGCTTATGACTCTTTTATCCACTTTCCATCACCAAAACAGACAGTAAGTTTCAGGACAGCTCATTTTAGAACTATCCTCCTGGTTGGAAGCTTATTATCATGTACCTTTTGGCTTACATGAGCCATAACTAGCGAGAACAAGTCAGAAAGCAGGCTGTCGAGCTGCAAGCCAGTTTGAGGTTTCCTGATGCACTGATTCTGCCACTAAGTTCACTTTGCTAATACCATCCTTATGAATGAGTGCACCTGGAGACCATGGCACTTTTTCTCTGCAAGAATTAATTGACTAATGGCTGGATTTCATTTGCAGCTCGATTGCTGCAGGCTTCGACTGAGCGCCCATCGAGAGATCATGGTAAATGTTCCAGCTATAGAATATATTGATCCTGTTGTATGTCGTCAGTAGACTACATCTCATGATGAGATTTAAGTAGGTTCTGTAACATGCATGCTCTACCTTGTTCTCAACAACACTCAACAATGGCTTTCTTGCCTTCACAGATCAGTGAGTGATCGTCCTGACTTTGCTCACGTATTTAGCGCTATATCACAGAGTGTTGGAAGTCATACAGACTTTATGTCCAGTGGGACACGGACTTAGACATTCCGCACGTGTTTGCTTATGTAATCACGTAGCCACAAGCGTGCTCGATCTTTTCCTGCTACCTCAGCACTCGCATCATACATCGAGGCTGAGGTAAGCACCTACTGGATTCCTTACATATGTTACGGTTTCAGCGCTTCAAGGTCACGTGACAGTTTACGTTGCACGTGACACTTACTATTTATGGTTCATAGGTCTTGTGGACATATGCTAGGGTTAGCAGTTTTCGTTTTTACGATTTACTCACTCAGGCCATGCAAACTAGACCTTCGCATTTCAGGTTTCTATTTCACCTGTACTAACATTAGCTCGCCAATTACTTGGCTCGCAGCGGTTAGTATTTGTCTCGGTCTATTTCATTTACTTATGAATAGCTGTAGGAGACCCCTTGTACTAGTACCCCAGACTATAGGTCTGCGACTATATAAAGGGGCGGAGCAGCAGCTGGAAGATAACCTCTTCCACCTGTGACTCTGAACGTTCTCAGTTCTAGAACCCTCGTGCAATCGTACTCGCTCTCAAGAGGTAGTAAGCTCGTATGCTTGCTAGAGTCAGAACAGCGAACCTAGTAACCTGCGGGTGAACGTGCAGTAGCTGTAGCGGCCAAGGCCTAGCAAGGGTAGAGTGAGGACCTCACTGCTATATCGTCTACTAGGCTTGACCACACTATAAACCCTGCTAATAGTCTGCTTGACTATTGGAGACGTCAGGTATATTTGGTATCTGAGTCTCTGTCCACGCTGTGGACTAGTACGTGTGAGAAAGCACACGTGGTTCTGAACGTTCTAGCAGGGAACGCTTCATAACATTTGGAAGAGGTTTTTCTATAGGTCAACCTGTTTAGGTTTAGAACCACTTACAAGAAGTGGGGTCTACTTGGACGCTACAGAAGAAACCAACTCCATCAAGTCCTCAAACAGGGGTATCCAATTCTAGGGAACTCGGTGCACGTTGCGGCCTCTGCACCACTTGGAAAAACAGGGAGAACCACTCTGAAGTAGCTGTTGCGGCAGTACTTCGCCCGAGGAGGGAAAAACAGGGAGCACCACTCTGAAGTAGCCGTTGCGGCGGTACTTCACCAGACAGGAGATTCTCGGAGAAGCGGAACCTGGGTACTTGTTGCGGCAAGGTACCCGCTGAAGGCAGTGTCGACTTGAGCCCCACACTCACCGGAGGAGCTGGGTATACAGAAGACGCCGGTTAAGGGCCACCGAAAGAAGGCACCCACACCTTGCCGAGGCTGGTTTTCAATCGAGAAAATGCAGATAGGAAGGACGATTGGTTATAGGCACCAAGCAGAGGAAATCAACAGCCAGAACGACCAAGCGCTCAAACGGGAGTAGGCAGGAGTTCGACGTGACTAGCTGGGCACGTTAAAAAGCGAGCACAGGATATCCGAGGTCAGAAAAGAGACTAGGACTCCGACTGGTTGACGTTACCAGGCAAATCAAAAGACGTACGCAATTGGTTAAGGGCCACCAAGATCAAAAGGCAGGAGCACGGAGTTTTTGTTACAGAACGAACTCAAGCTCCAGCGATTACCCGAGTGGTAGTCCAGAAGAGAAGCCCTCATCTGAGGCACACGTTGAAGACGTGCTAAAGCCCTTCCCAGGGAAGGCAATCCAGGAATCTTAGGACAAGACAAGATTCAAAACGACTACTTTCCGAGAACACGATCCAGTCTCTGAGGAATCCACCCCAGAAATACGACCGGTGACTTCTGACGAAGAAGTACCACCATTTACGCTCAGTGACGCCACCACAGAGGAATTAACAGACCTCTACGACAAAAAGTCGACAGAAGCGGTTCAACTTCGACTTCAATTCAGGCTAGGACAAGCCTACGAACCAACAGATCGCCCAAGGTTAGAGCAGCTCGAGGGTGAGATCGAAGAAATAAGACAAGTTCTTCGCGGAAGGGAAAACTTTGACGAAGAATCTCTACGACTCTTTGACGAAGCAACAGAACTTCCACGAGGAGAATCAATCCAAGTTGAATGACAGGAAGGGCGTTCACAGGAAACCGGTGGATTACAGCCAGTTAATCCTCTCAGAACAAGAGCAGTCCCGCTCGAGAGATCTATCTCGGACAGTACTACTCGACCAGATTATCCAGGAATCACACATCTCACAAGGGACCAGCCACCCCACCTACCCAACGCGCCTGGAATCACACGTTCGGTTTCAACCGGATCAAGACCAACCGGTAGCTTCCAGTTCTCAGGAAGTATGGCGACACATGCACGATATGACCCAGCTCTCGGACCACCAGTCCATCCCGGAACTTGCACCGATGCCGTCTGGAACGATTACCAACAAGCATTGGCACTCTATGCACAATACCAGGGAGCAATCCCCAAGCAGCCAGTGGCACGAGAAAAGAAGATGGGAAAAATCAAGGAGTTTAGGGGAGACAAACGAGAGTATGCATCGTTCCTCCGAAACGTGGAACGATACCTACAGGCAAACGCGGGAGTCTACAATGACGACTTTAGCAAAATTGCCTTCGTCCTCTCCCAAATCGACTCCTCATCCACAGCAGGAAAGTGGGCCGAGTCATGGGAAGCCAACCAAGTGGCAAAACACAACAATCTTGGGACGTACCAGGATTTCAAGACGACGCTTACCGAAAAGTATGGAGGTGTCGCAACCAAGGATCAAGCCTGGCAAGTACTTCTCGAAGGAAAATACAAGCAGGACAAACAAACCGTCGACGAATATATCGGAAATCTCGATATCCTCTACCGATATGCCGAAATCGACGACGAATACGCCAAACTCATCCACTTCAAGCGAGGCCTTAATGAGAAACTTGCAGAAAAAGTCTTCATCACGGAAAATCTGCCGACGACCTATGCAGCAGCATGCAAGGCCGCAAGAAAGGTCACAGACCTCCAGGACATTCATAGCGGAAAGACAAATATCTTCAAGTTCATCTCAGGCTCTTCAGGAAGCGGAAGAAGGACGGAGAAGGACCCTGACGCAATGGACGTTGACCGGATCTCCCCAGAAACCCCATAAGAAACGTTCTGTGGATGGACTCTGCTATAACTGTGGAAAGCCAGGACACGTCGCCGCACAATGTCTAAATGCAGAATACGATCCGGCACCAAATCACTCAGGAAAGACAGCTTCATATGCCAAGACCCAGACGTCCAATTCCAGGACGAAGAAATACTCCGGATCTGGCAGACGAAGAAAGACTTCCAAGCCGACTAAATCTTACTCCAAGGGAACGGAGAAGAAACGCCGACGAGTAAAGAGAGTCGAAGAAAGCGACTCTGAGGATAATTCGGAGGAGTCGGAACAGGAAGAATCAGAATCCTCATCATCGGAAGAATCAGAATCTGAATCATCGGAATCTGAAGAAGTATCCGAACCAGAAATGGTTGTTCACAGGGTGCGAAGAGCTCGTCCTGTTAAAACCAAAACAGTTCGCAAAATCAGGCGAACCAAGGATGAATCCAGCGACTCAGAAGAAGAGTATGTGGTTCGAAGATTCATCCCCAAAGAAGAACTCGCCAGAATACGACGGGAAGATGCACTCAAAATGCGAGGAGACCGTATTAAGAAACGCAATATGACGATGCCCCATCTCGA